TAAGAATCTACTTTCAAGAGGCTTGAAAAAGACATATACTGTCGAAACGTCGTCACAAAATAAAAAAATAATGAACAAAATCTAGAAACATCTTTGCAACCCCAACGACCTAAAGCCAAGAGTGAAAACAAAAAAATATAAATAATTTTGACATCTAATTTGTTGTTTATATTTTGCTACTACTTAAAAAAAATATTTATATTAAATGATTTTAAATTTTGTTGTTAATGTAAAGTTAATGTAATGTTAAGGTATAACAAATTATTACTGTTATTATTATTTATTAAACCAGTCTTTGCTTAAAAACATTAAAAATAATTTTCCTACATCCAAAATAACAAGTATTATTGCAGTGTAACAACAGAATATTAATAAAAAAAATGCAGAATATATAGACATACTAACCCTAACTAACTAAAGCCAAACAATAATATTCTTTGCTAATATCAACTAATACCAAAATATTGCAACAGCGCCCTTCATAATGTATTTTCTGTGTAAATACTAGCACCTCAATAAAAAAAATAAGGTGTCCTTATCTATATCTGACTCCGCAAAAAATCAAAGATGCCGGCTTCTTTCATAGCATTGCCACCGACCGCTGTCGGGTTTCTCGGAAAGAAACCTACGTCGCCGGGCGACAACTAAAATTCAGTTAATATTTTATTATAATCGATCCTGACGAATAAATGAATGAATTTTATAAATGAATGGTTTTTGCTGCCGAATTACTAGAATACAATATTTCAAGGCAGATGACGGATCTATTCGATAATTTTTATTCGAATAGTTTTCAACGAATATTTTCTAACTATCGAATTATTCGAATGATTTGCAACTATCGAATGTTTCGATAGTATTCATTCGATAGTTCCCACTACTAATTGTTACCGTAGTTGAAGCAGCTGTCGTGTTTTTACTAATCTAAAAAGTTTTATTCGCTTGAGTAATAAATTATAATAAACACGTTCCTTGCCAAAGACTTTTAATGAAAAATATAATCCATATAGCAATAAAATAAATTAATCAGTTCCCAAAATAAACACAATGGTGTTTTTTTATTTCTAATACGAAATAAGATTTACATTTTAAATTGACAAAAACCAAAAACAAGAAGAAAATTGATAATTTTAATAATCCATGTGTTCCCACCTCTAGCCCTTATGCAAATTTCTATCCGCGCTGTCTTGCTTTTTATTAAATTATCAACGTTCTCTTGGGGTATATTTAATCATTCTGCTAATGCTGCATCAATAAGCTGTGCTCTAGCGAGCTCTAACCCTTCTTTTGAGTTGGTCCCACAATTGTACGATAGAGTTTAGATCTGGTGAACATGCAGGCCATTCCTAAACTATGACATCTTGCGTTTCCAGACATTCCCTATAGCCACTCTGCTGGTATGGGGAGGTGCATTATCGTGCATGAATACATTAAAATACGCAACCAACCGTCATTGAACCGTCCAATCAGATCAAAGGAGTAATCGTCGTAGATCGTGCGTTATCGATAATGTTCGGTGCCTGGAGAAAATTGACAATTGACAAGAGAATTGTTTATTATTTTTGACTTTTTAGTTCGTTTAAATTAATAATTACTAAAACCAGTAGTTCGAAAGATATATTTAAAAATAAAAGATAAAATCCAAAAATTAATTATCTATTAACGTGGATTTGGACGACAATAGGTAAGAACACTAAATTTATTTCTATATTCGATATAAACTTGTTTATTAGGTTTTTAGTTTGTGATGTTTCATGTGATGATCATTTTCATGTTCATCGTCTTTGAATTGACATGAGGATATCTATGGAAAAGTAACTAATCTGAAAGTAAGCCAACATATCGTTTGTCCTTTGTGTGCTAAAGAAAAGATTTTCTTTTCGCATCATGAGGAAGTATTACATCAATTAAAAAATGTTAGGAAGTTGATTACTTGTCATGGAAAAGTATACCAATGGAAATTATTTGTTAAAGAAGTATAATTCTAAGGGTAAATTTTATTATAATTAGTAACCTGTCTATTTTTTATACGTAGATGTTTCAGGTTTTAAGAATAAATTGGTTGAACCCAAAATCTGGAGGAAGTACCTATATCCATACACAGAATATGCCCATTAAAAATACTAGTCCAAATTTGCTTTAATGGTAGACAATTATTCAATACAAATTAACTTTTTAAGTGACTGAAATATTAAATAGTTTAGAATATGGTATAACAATGTAAAAAAATATTATTTTCAGGAACGATTAGGGCCCGATATATTTGAAACTCATGTTGGACATAGTATTGAGTTGGGTAGAATATTATTCTACGTTAAGTGAGGGTATCAGATACCTATTATTGTACTGTATTTTAATATATACATTAGAATTGTTGGTTTTTTCATATTTGTTTTATTTATTATTTTACTTACAAGTTATATAAAGTTAACACTAAAATCTACTTTTTGACTTATATAAGTTAGTCTGTGGTTTAATGCGTGATTACATCCACATGATTTCAAGTTTTTAAAATATAAATATTATAACTGGCTTTAAAAACTCCATTAAACTGTTAAAAGTGTAATTTATTTCAAAATAAATATACATATATAGGTATATATTAATATCGAAAAACATTTTTATTTCCTTAACACCAATTTAATCATCACATACATATGTATAAACATTTATTTACGTTATTTCAAATGAAGACCACAGGAAAAACCAGCTTTGTTCATTTTAACTGGAGCCGAGAAAATGCAATTACGAGTGAACTACTCTGGTTTTTCTCCTGTAGGGCAAAATAACTAAGCTGTAATATCTCTGGGACTAAGCATATTATTATTGCTTTCTTTGATGGTGCCTCGAATAATGCTAACACTTGCCTATAAAATTGTCTCGCTATCAATTTCTATGAAAATGTAACATATTATCTGGTTTTTTCCATGTAGTCTTCAAATGATCTAAAAATTCAGCAGGAATGATCCATTATGCAGCAAACACACTGATGTTGAATCATGGGAAGCTTTTTTGTGGGCATTTCACAAATAAAATGAAATGTCTGATCAAAAACTGAAAATGCAAAACAGATAGTAAGCTTTATAAATACATACATATATATAAATAATCATACCTACATCTATTTATGTCGTACAATCCAACCGATATTTTAATATCCTAGCCCAAGTAAATAATCAAAAATGCACTTTTTATATCAAAAGCAGTTATGTTATCAAGGGTTCCAAATATCCAGGATTTAAAAAAAAACACGATCCTAATTCTTATTATTTTTCTAAATACGTATTGTCTGATAGGCAATTACAAAATATAAATCTGATGTAAATAGAAAAATAAAGTAAAAACTGTAAAAACAGGTAAAAACAACAACAAAAATTCTAACCAAAGATTTAACCGTCATACGACATGAGCATCACGTGATTGCACAATACCCAACGATAGGGTACGTACCTCTTTCATCTAATTGGACGGTTGGTTGCGTATTTTAATGTATCCTAGTTAAAATTATCTCCAATTGCAGCTCTCCAAAGCCTATAACGATTGGTTCTAGCACTAAATCAACTTACATCCGACCCGTTAAAGTTTGTTGAAGTGGTACCAATGGAGTTTTTGCTCCCAGTAAAAAATCCTCTCAGAACATTACAGTTGCTCCTTTATATGCTTGGAACAGATTTGACAGCCGGGAGTCTCACTCGTCTTCCTGAAGCTCTGAAAGCCCGTATTCGATGGTGATCTGATCTTAGGCCAATTCTGGCCTCATCCGAAAAAAGAACATTTTGCCAATTCTGAATTGTACAGTTTTGATGTTGAAGGCACCAATTTAGCGGGTTTATTTTATTTTGCCGAGTAACTGTGGGACCCTAACTCTCCTACTGTACAACCCTCGAGCAGGAAGCCTTTTTCTTATGGTTTCAACTGAAACGTTCAGACCTGTATCTACCAGAAGTGGTCTTTGTAGCCCTGGATGAGAAACATCGGGATTTCTTCTAGCAATTTGGCACACAAAGCGGTCTTGTTGTTGAGTTGTGACTCTTTGACGACTTTGTCTGGGCCTGTTATAATATTAAGAATTTCAAATTTACACTTTTGCAATCTCTGACGTCACCTATCAATAGTGTCACGGTATGCCCTCGAACGCTTCGAACATCCGAACAACTTTGGTAGTGTTTAGTGCTTCGATAAAAATGGCAGTAACCTGTTAATTATAAAAATTTAAGATTTAATTTCTAGTAGTAAAAAATATAAAAGTAAATTTAATATTGGGGTAATAAAGAATAATCCCACATAAAAACGTATTTTTTAACGATCTTAATAAAAATAGAAAAATCTAACGTAATTTTAAGATATATGGTGTAAATACGGTAGCAGAGAACTAGACACGCCATAATATTATTCTTCAGAAGCTCGCGCCCTCTGTCAACTATTCAGTCAAATGCTGATAGGTGACGTCACAGTTTTCTACGCGTCATTTCAGACCAGTGAAATTTGAATTGAATTTGATTCATTATTTATTCCTTAATTGTAACTTCGTTGCATTTCTTTTTGCATTGAGGGAGTACTTTTTAATCACTTCAATTGAATTTTATATTAAAAATAACAAAAATTTACTATGGTTAAAAAAACACCGGAATGTTTATCTTTCAAGTTTGACTAAGTATATTATGAAATTTCGCCTTATATAAACTTTGTGGTTTATTTAAAATATCCGGTATCATTCAGAACCAACATCTGCAAAAGTATTATTTCATAGATACACTTCATTAGTAATAAAATACATTTTGCGGTTTTTTCCTCTAGCAAATTTAAGGCTCCAACGCACTAGGCGGTCGCGGTTCCGTCGCTTCTCGATCAGGAGCCCCATTCTGTAACTATCGAACCGATCGATGCAATAAGAAATGTAGAAAAAGATACCGAATAAGGCTCCAACTCGCGATGCGACTTTACAGTTTGTCCAAGTAACGAAATCCCAATTGATATGTATTTTTTTCCGCTTGTTACAGACGGTGAGCAACAGACCGCGTCTGTGGTCTTCCCAAACCAACATTCGGATCAGGGACAAAGATGAGCCTCCTCCCTACGCCACCATGAACAGTACGGAGGAGATCGCTATCTACCGCAGTCCGCCCGACTTCTACCCCACCAAGCGCTCCACCCTCAGCTACAGCTACGATTTTCCCGAAAAAACTACGAAGAAGGAGAAGAAATGGTCTATAGGCAGCTTGTTCCGGAGAAAAAAGAAGGATGAAAGTGAAAGCAGCAGCGATGAGGACAGGAAGAAGGGGTTTCTGAATAGGCGTAGACGAAAAAGTGATGGGAAACGACGAAAACCTAAAACTTTGGGTGGTTTTGACCACGTGGTGCTTTCCAAAGCTCCTGCTTACAATCACCACGAAGATACAGGGATTCTTTCCGATCCTTCAGGAGGTTTCTCGAATTATATTGGTCGAACTTTACCTCTGATACCCTCGAATAACCCTCCTCAATCTCAGAACTCTTACAACTCGTTTACTAACTTAAATTCCTCAGTGGTCAGTGTGGGCTCGCTCGGTTCAGCTGACAGCATATCAAAGAAGAAAGGAAAAGGTATGATCAAAGCTCGAGCTGCCGCTAGAAGAACCGCAATCAACAACGAAAGCAGTTCTGACGAAGACTCTTCTTTAAGATCTAATTCATCGTTACGTATGAGAAGTGATGAGAGTTTGGCGAGACCGATAAGCGACAATGGGCATAGTCGAAAATCGCGATCAGCCCGAACTGAGAGATACTTAAAAAGACACTCAAGAGATGGAGAGAATCCTCATAACTATTTGAGGTTGTCTAAATCTGACGCGGACGATACCAGGTCGCCTAGTAGGAGTCCAAATTTGCCTATGGCTGTGAGAACTGACCACAGTAGTATCGATTCATCGAATATTTCGGGGCTTAGTACCATTCCTCCTCCTAGTCACGGAGCTCACGGAAAATACCGAGTGAGTAATTCAACCAGTAATCCCTCCTATAAGCCTCCTCTTTCTATGAACGACTATAACAACAGCCAGAGAAGCATTTCCTGTGACGCCAACATTCACAAAGCTCCTTCTTTCGAAGATAACAACATCATGCACGTTCAGTTTCCTATTATGAGACCGAGTGCAAGAGGTTATAGGAATTTCAGTCTAATAGACTCGGGTCAGGTGAACTGTGCTAGACAGCCTCCTCAGCCACCTCCAAGGGATCCGAATAGGACGGTTGTATCGCATTATTTCGAGAATAGTAGACCCAATACCTTCTATTTAGATAGTAGTTTAGGACAGACCAAATCCAAGTCCTTTAACTCTGCGGGAAATAAGTTTTTACAACCCAAAATGGGTTCTTTTAACTTCGGTCCTAGTTCTAGATCAAACTCGGAGGTTCACATACCTTCAGATTCATTTAACCTTCAGGCTACTATTAGACCTGCTTCGACCACTCCCGAACCAAAACCTTATCGATACCTGACTCGTAGGGACGAAAGACATACCGTGGACGGTTATAATTACCTAGCAGATCGATACCCAAGAAGTAGAAAACCTATAGTGATACAGAGTAGTAGTAATAAGGTAGAACCTAGAAAAGATTCCCCCACGCAGAAAGCTATGGAATTCTGGAAGCAAAGGGAAGAAAACCAGGTGCCCAAGCCGGTTTCAAAACCAGTCTCGAACAGTCCTCAGATGTTCACTAGCCAAACTCGAGTTCAGAGCCAAGTTTATTTTCCTAGTCCTGTTTTGAATGAGAGTTCGAACTTAGAAGCGTCTAGAGGGGCCAGTCCTTTTAAACCTGTGTCACCCACAGTGAAGGAGATTCACAAAACCGAGTTAGAAGATTCTAATAGGAAATCGACTAACTTGGAGGAAGCTTTAGATGAACTCGAAGCTATTTATAACAGTCTAAGATTGGGGGATGAGAACTTGCTGGACAGAGCTGAGCAAAGAGAGAAAGAAACTCTAATCCAGAAGGCAGAGGAAGCTAAGAAAGCTAATTCCAAAGGTAAAAAAGGAGCTTTAAGTGATTCGAGCTTCAGTTATGAACCGTTCGATCAGGTGGATGGACCTAAAAAGAAGAGACTGGTACGCAGAAGCAGGATACCGGATACCAAAGAGGACGATATGTATAACAGAAAATTAGTGAGGGAAAAAGCCGTCACTATCAGTGACCCACAGTCTGTCATATCCAAAGTAAGTTACTTGCTGTCGTCTCCGATTCAGGCAGCTTACGATAGTGAAGGCGAACGTAAAAAAGAGACCAAAGTCAGCAAAGAACCAGATACAACCTTTGATGACGTGACATATAGAAACCTCAAACACGCTCAGGGCACACCTAGAGTCATTGAAACTCAACCACCTTTCGGTATTCCTTTAGGACCTGTGACTCCTTCAGCTAACAGTGACTACCTCCACGCGACCCCTGAAAACGTTTACACACCTGTCCATAAACAAACCAAAATTCCTGACATAGTCAAGGACGATCTCGCTTTCAGAAATCTCAGAAAGGACTCCAATAAAGAACCTGTTCTACCTCATTCGGGTTTGGATTTGAATTATTTGAAAAAGCGACGAGCCGTCAGGTCTTTATCGGCTAATATTGGTAATATTCTTGGAAAATCCGCCAGGAGTAGTGAAGAAGATGTTGAAAATGAACTTAAGAATAAAACTTTGACCGATATTGCTGATGCTATGGAGATAGCCAGACAGGTGCTTCAGGAGAAGGGAAAGAATATTTGTAATACTAGAAAAGCGTTTATGAGTGATACAGAGGTGAGACCTAACGGTGATGCTTTTCGGGAGAGTCGCAGGAAGTTTCTTAACGGTTTGAAGAACGCTGATAACCAGATGTCTTCTCGTCCACCGAAGGGTTTGACTCCAGAAAGGAAGCTTCAGCGTACGCCTACGAAAGAATCGACTCCTATTCCTAAATCGGCTTTGGAGGATGACAAATCTGACAATTCCTCTTTGGATGATTTGCTCAACGCTCTCGCTGAAGAAGCCAAAGTAACTACTGAAAGAATAACTAAAGAATTGGAGGAGCTCGAACAGAAACGTTGTAAGAAAGAGGAGGAGGTAGATTTGAAACCTTGTCAAAAACTTTTGAAGGCTGTCGTTGACAAGAACGAAGCTCCTTGCGAGGTGGTTCAGGAAATTAAGGTGCAAATACCTCCTGTTGAGTCTGCTGTGATCGTGCAGTCTTGTTTCGATGCGAGTAGTAAAACAAGTCAAGAGTCCGAGCATGACTATGAAAATATTGATTCTGAAGATGACAAAATCGATGTGGATTTGATGGAGAAGGAGGTGGAGAAGGAGGAGTTCCAAAAATGCCAGTCGCCGTTCGAAGAGAGAAAACACGAGCTGGTGGCCACGTTCCAGGAGCTGAAAAAGGACATCGACGACATCCAGGTGCCGAAGTTCGAAGCAAAAACCGATTCGATCTACGACAACATTGAAACGACGACACAGGAACAGGAAGGTGAGCGTAGCGCTGCAGCTTGTCCCTCAACTCCCTCTAAACAACCCCCTTTAAAGCTGGAATCGCTCAAGAGCCCGCGGCTGGTGCTGGAGACCGCCCGAAAGTGCACGTCCAGAGATCTGGACCTCCAGCCACTCCCGGGGGCTTCTAGGAGTCGGGATGATCTCGATGATTTCGATGCCAAGAAGCCGGGGGAGTGCTGGTACCACGATCCGGCCAAGGTGGCGGTGGCGTGCACTTACGGGCTCGCATGCGCCCACCAGCTGGCTTACGTCGACATCACCACCGTTCTTGGCTTGCTGTTTGCCGTTATGTCTTTCGTTGTCGCTTTGTTTTTGTAGTACCATCAGAGATAGAAGTAAGTTTGTATAGATACGATCTGATATTAGACTACCGAATACCTTGTAAATAACGTAAATCATGTCAATTCAGGTTAAAAACAAGTATTATTTTCTATTGAGCTTTTTGGTGCATAAAACAAAATATTTTACCTCTGACATCACATCACTTTATAAGCCTGAAGAGTGTATCTTTATTGGACCATTTTTCTTATTCAGTAATTTTATGTCTATTAAATTTAATAATATATGAATAGGTACAACTCTGATGGTACTACAAATGAAAATTAACATTTTGTTTTTCGTACAATATTTGTCATATCATTATTGTAACTAATATTGACCAGGCATGAATTAAGAATGAATAATTACCTCTATTGTGTTTTTTTTCGATTGTTTGTATATTTAAAATATAGATGTAGCATAGATAGATTTTGTATCTTATTATCTATTTTTAATATGATTTGTAAATTTTTCGATAAAAGTATTACTATTTATATTTTGCGGCAATATACAGGGTGTTCCAGGCTGAGCGTGCATTAGAAGTTTCTAGAAAAGTATAATATCCAGATCGGAGATTTTTTGCACATCGTTTCACGAGATCTATCGATTAAAAATATTTTCAATATGGCGGCACTTCCGGAGCTACTTTCAATATAGCTACTTTCTTATTTTAAATGGGTGCCCCCATTTTTTAATACATACTTAAATTCTCTGTAAAATTTTATGAATTTTGATATTAAACCCTCTATACCAAACATTAACCGTTTTTGAGAAAAAAAAATTAACATTTTTGGACGAAAAAAATTTGTGTATAGCCTAAACGTCAGGGAATTGAGCGATTAAAAATTATCAAAAATCATTTGTTTTAAATGGAAACCCACTTTTTTTTATTTTACTAGTGAAAATACTTTTCAGTTCGTTACTTTTTGACTATACATGTTCCTATACCTAAAATAAATTGTTTTTAAGTTATTTAAGATTTATTTTTAAAGCGTATATTTTTCTTGATTTTAACCAGTAGCTTATGACTTTAAACGTCAAGTGATGCAAAACAATAGATCTGGCCATGTCATATTGTGACACTTTGTTCAAAAAGCAGTATTTTATAGATTATCAGTTCCAAGCCAACTTGAACTGTTTTTTTTCGATCATGCGGTACATTATTAATAATATCAACTATTACATATCACTAAAGAGCGAAAATACGAGATATATTTTTATAAATACACTTTTTAAACTCTTAAGGCAGGCAGTATTTATAATAGAGAAAATTCAAATAATTAGTTTTTTGATAGATTGAAATAAATTGTCTGACAATTTGACACTTACTGTCAAAGGAATCTAGATAAAATCAAGGAAAATATACGTTTTCAAACTAAATCTTAAATAGCTCAAAAACGATTTATTTTAGGTATAGGAACATGTATACTCAAAAAGTAACGAATTGGAAAACCTTTTCACTAGTGAAATAAAAAAGTTGGTTTCCATTTGAATAAAATTATTTACGATAATTGTTTAATCTCTCAATTCAATGACAGCTAACGTCATTACTGTATGACATTCTAACAATTTAATTTTTGAAATATATAGCCATATGTCTTCTCTTTATGTCACAGTGACTGTGGTAATCATTAAATTTGAGTTTTAGGCTATACAAATTTTTTTGACAGGTAGTTTTTTTCCTCTAAAAATTTTAAATATTTTTTTTCTCAGAAACGGTTAATGTTGGATATAGAGTGTTTGATATCAAAATTCATAAAATTTTACAGATAAATGTATAATAAAAAATTGGGGTAGCCATTTAAAATAAGAAAGTTGCTGTCAAAGTGCCGCCATATTGATAATATTTTTAATCGATAGATCTCATTGTAAAACAATGATGTGCAAAAAATCTCCGATCTAGATATTGTGGTTCTCTAGAAACTTCTAATGCATGCTCAGCCTGGGACACCCTGTATATTATTCTATTCGTACCTAAATGTTATTTTGTTTTGTACATACATTTATAGTTTTAATGTGATTTTGTATACTTTAGAGACAACTGGTTAATGAATGACATACCTATCTTAGTTTTTAGAGATAAGATTTTCTATTATTTACACAATCTTACGAGACAACGAATATATTTATTTTGTTCAGCATGAATCAGAAACTATTATTTAAACACCCACCTTTATTATCTATTTCATACAGATATATAATTTTGGATTCTTAAGCTTTATTCAGAACCTCGAAATTAGTGGAATAAATTAGTGGTTTCAATTATACTTTATACTTGAGGGTATACGATCACATTCACAATGTTTAACAAACAGAATCAAAACTAATAGAATATCCTAGCAACAGCTTGCGATAGTCAGTTGTAATAATTAGCTGATAAAACAATAAACTTTTTATTTCTAAGACAATTTCTCTTGACAGATGATAATCAAAGGCCAAAATAACATTACTCTTAAATTTTGAAGTATAATTAGTGAAAGAAGTTAATAGTTTGTTAACTTTTTGCACCAATTGTAAATTAGTACCACTAATTTTGACGTTCTGAATGCTTACATTGAAATTAGAGGAGTCGAATGAGCTCCAGATCAGAATGAACCTCCAGATTAATGGAATACATTAGTAGTTTCAATTGGCATAGAAGTTTGTTCCCCTAATTTCAAGGTAATCATTTAGAACGTCAAAATTAGTGGTAGTAATTTTCAATTAGCAGAAAAAGTTAACAAACTTTAACTTTTTCAACTAAATATACTTCAAAATTTACAACTAATGTTATTTTGGTTTTGGATTATCAGTATTATCACCCGTCAAGAGAAATTATGGTTAGAAATCAAAAGTTTATTGTATTAAAATCTAATTCTTATGCTTTATCTATGGATGCAACTGATTACAGCAAACTCTGTTGCTAGGATATTCTGTTAATTTTAATTGTATTTTTTTAGACATTGTGAATGATCGTAAACTCTTAAGTATGAAGTATAAATGAAACCACAAATTTATTCCACTAATTTCGAGGTTTTGAATGGGGCTTTAGAGTCATTTTATGTCTAGTAATGTAATATCTATAAAGATTTGTATATGTCAACGTTAAGTTTATCTATATTATAATTTTCTGATAATGGAAAAGTTAATAGATAAAACTGTTGGAATTAAGCATTTTAATTAAAGGAATATTTTGAATATTTTTATGTTTGCAGCGTATTATGTGTAGGAATTGTATAAAGCTCATCGCAAAATTGTGTTGCACCATCTTGCTTGGTCCATTTTTCATCGCATCCATGTTATGACGTTATCATAAAGACCTGCGCTTTGGGATGTGCCAAATCCAATATCATATTCTGAAAATTAATTTTTGTTTTCTTTTTCTGAAGATTAACTTTGCGCTTTTCGAATATATGGCGGCAAAAATGAAATTTCCGGTTTTCTATAGTTTTCTACATCAATGTACCGTATGACTTGAAAAAAAAACGGCGTCAGCGATGGTTATGAAATGAAGATCGCTGTCATTTTATATGTAAAGTTATATGGCGAATGGCGAATGTGAACGATCGTCATTTCCAAGCCAACTGGACACCGTTTTTAATCGATCATACGGTATTTTGGACGTCATAAGCACAGTTTATTAAAATACATCATCATAATCATTAGTTAATATTCGATGTCATAACATTCGAAAAAATGGACATAAAAAATCCAGATTACAGTTGGGGGTTACCTTTGGTGTTACAATACCCAAATAAAACACTAATTCACCACAATACACCAAAGCACTTTACTTTTGAGATGATTAAAACTCATGTGAGTTTTAATCATCTGTTGATGATGCTAACATGGTTAGGGCCATTTCGCACCAACACAGTCCAATCCAGTCACGATCAGTCACGTCGGACGTTGCTGAATCCAATCTAGGACAGTCATGCAAACAAAACACGTCGTGTACAGTCCAGTCGCGTCCGGACAAATCAAGACTGATAGTGATTCGTTCGGTCGAATTTTTATGCCAGTCATTGCAAAATAAAAACACTAAATCACCACAATACACCAAAACACTTTTATTTTACACTGGACGCGCGTTTCGCTAACCATGTTAGCATCATCAGCAGATGATTATAAACTAAAGTACAATCTACAAGTTGAGCGTTTATATACTCGCTCAGTGGGCACCGAGTGGGCGTGGCAAAATCTAGCCAACCGAGTCAGAGCCAACTGAGCGTAACAGTTAGATTTACGCCACTAGAGTAGTAGGAACAAAGACCTTGAAGGAATTGGACCTTTGACTCTGTTCATACTATCTTTACAATTATTAATTCTGATGCTTTCATATGCATCTAATTGCCTGTACTTTGAGACTTGTTTAATTAATTTTAAATTATTAAGATCTATACAATGTTCATTATCAACAATATGTTCGGCAACGCAAGATTTATCCGGTCTACCATATCTTATCTGAGCTAAATGTTCTTTAAATCTAGTTAATATTGATCTTCTCGTTTGCCCAACATATTTCTGATTACAATCTTTACAAGAAATTTCATAAATACCCGACCTTTCTAGTGGAGGTGTTTTATCTTTTGGATTACCTAATAATTGTTGTAATTTATTATTAGCACTATACACAAGTTTATAATTGACATTCTTAAAAATTCCTTTTAGACCACGGGATAACTCTCTATCAAACGGTATCGAAAAATATTTAGACGTATCTTTCTCCACTTGAAAAGTCGAATTTTCAGAAATCATTAACCTATACCTACGTTTTCTAATTAATTTATCAACTAGTGAAGGAGAATATCCATTACACTCAGCTACATTCCTAATGTAATCTCTTTCTATTTCATATCTTTCGTTGGAAAGTGGGAAACTAAGTAATCTATGAACTAAGAAATTTAAACTAGCCATTTTATGTTCAACACTATGATGTGATTCATTAGGAATATATCTGCGTGTGGTCGTATTTTTCCTATATATATATATATATATATCAAATTCCAGGCAATTATTAGTATTTATAATAACTAATACATCTAGAAATGGTAATCTGTCGTTGTTCTCAATTTTATGCGTAAATTTAATGGAAGGAAAACGATTATTTAACTTAGAAATAAAATTATCTATGGTGTCTGAATGTGTGTCAAAAACAGCAAAAATATCATCCACATACCTAAACCATACTTTAATAACCATTTACTTTAAAAACCGGAAATTTTAACTTTTTTGCTATATTTTCGGAAATGACAAAGATAAGTTTTACTACTTAACGGATTATTTAGTTGTACAGGGTGGCGCCTCTCATACGCCGCGGAGGCTCCTAGGAGAAGGACAGTTTGTATTGAAATGCAATTTTGTGAGCATAATATGTAGGTTATTTCAGATATTAGTAGTTTCAATGTAAATATCTTCAAAATATTATTAAGGTTGCCTACCCCTCAGACAAAGATTTTCTTATACAGGGTTGTTCACCACATACGACACGGAATATTGTAGCTAAACGATTAGATTTTTACAAATTGTAAGTTTTGGGTTCGTTGAAGG